GCTAGATGCTGGACATATAGAGAAATCTACAAGCCCTTGGAATTCTCCTGTATTTGTTATTAAAAAGAAGTCAGGGAAATGGAGAATGCTTGCAGACCTGAGAGCCATCAATAAAATCGTTCAACCTATAGGCTCTCTACAGCCTGGAATTTCGTTGCCTTCCTTGATTCCTAAGGGATGGCCGATCATAGTCATTGATCTGAAAGACTGTTTTTTCACAATACCATTACAAGAAAAAAATAGAGAAAAATTTACATTTACTGTACCAACTTTTAATAATTCACAGCCAGTTGGGAGATATCAGTGGAAGGTTTTGGCATAAGGAATGCTAAATAGTGCTACTTTGTGTCAGCACTTTGTACATCAACCTTTGGAAATAATTTGTGAGAAATTTCCACAATCTCTTGTTTACCATTACATGGATGACATTATTTTATCAGATTCTAATAAGGAAACTTTGGAACATATATTTGAAATGGTGAATGAAGTTCTGCCTCATTGGGGGTTACAAATTGCCCCAGAAAAGATACAAAGAGTAGATTCTATGAATTATTTAGGTTACAAGATAGATTTACAATGAATCAGGCCACAGAAGGTACAAATTAGGAGAGATCATTATCAAACTCTTAATAATCTTCAGAAGCTTCTAAGGGAAATTTCTCAACTACAGACGATTGATGGTGTAGGACATGACTTAAAGCATTTAAAAATGGCCCTTAAATGTGATAAGGACTTAAACAGTCTGAAAATATTATCTGCTGAGGTGGAAAACGAATTACAATGGGTAGAAAACAGAATATTGGATGCTCATGTAGATTGGATAAACCCTAATTTAGACTGTATTCTGGTTATCTTGCCATCCAGAGAATACCCTTCTGGGATTCTGATGCAGAGGGAAGACACTATATTGGAATGGATATTTCTGCCACATAAACAGAATAAAAAACTAAAGACATATATAGAAAAGATTTCTGATTTGATTCTAAAGAGTGAATTAAGGCTCTGTCAACTGACTGGAAAAGATCCAGCAAAAATTATAGTACCTTGAACTAATGAAGAAATTTCCTCCATATGGAAGGATAATGAATATTGGCAGGTAGCTCTTACTGACCTTTGGGGAACAATTAGCAACAATTATCCCAAAACTGACAGTATTAAATTCATAAAAATGACAATCTGGATTCTTCCACGTATTGTATGACAAACTCCCATTTCTGGGGATCTTACCTTCTACACTGATGCCAACAAATCAGATAAGGCAGGTTATAAAGCAGGTGAGGTAAGTAAAGTAGTTCTAAGTCCGTATACATCTGTAGAGAAGGCAGAATTATATGCAATTCTCATGGTACTTATGGATTTTACAGAGCCTCTCAATATAGTTACAGATTGTCAATATGCAGAGAGAGTCATGTTACACATTGAGACTGCAGAATTTGTTCCTGTTGATACAGAATTAACTTTCTGTTTGTACGATTGCCTGACCCTATCAGAAACACAATTAATCCCTTATATATAACTCATATCAGATCCCATATGGGTCTGCCAGGCCCACTAAAACAAGGCAATGATGAGAATGATTGTTTATTAATTGGAAGTGTGCTAGAAGACTCAGAATTTCAAAGAAATATCGTGTAAATAGCAAAGGTTTAAAAAAGGACTTCTCCATCACTTGGCAACAAGCCAAGGAGATAGTGAGAAACTGTCCTACTTGTTCTTTTTATAATCAAACTCCATTGCCAGCAGGCTGTAACCATAAGACATTCAGAGAAATGAGGTTTGGCAGATGGATATCATTTACTTTGCAGAATTTGGAAATTTGAAATAAGTGTATCATACTATTGACATATTCTTGGGGTTCCAATAGGCTACTGTTCTTAACTCTGAGAAAGCTGATTCTGTTATTACACACCTGCTAGAGGTGATGGCTTTTATGAATATATCTGCACAAATAAAAACTGGCAGTGCACCAGCATATGTCTCCACTAAATTGGAACAGTTTTTCAAATATTGTACCAAACATATGACTGGTATACCACACAATTCTACTGGACAGGCAGTGGTTGAGAGATCTAATAGGACGTTGAAAGTGATGCTCCATAAACAGGCTGGGGGAACAACACCCCTCCAAACATAGGTTACATAATGCTTTACTAACAGTAAACTTTCTTAATGCCAATGAGAAAGGACATACAGGTGCTAAAAGATACTGGACTACAGAAAAAAAACCTGCTAAACTGAATAATCCAGCATACTTCAAAGATGTACTAACCTCTGTATGGAAACCAGGACATGTGTTACGTTGGAGAAGGGGTTTTGCATTTGTTTCCACAAGAGAAGAAAAACTTTGAATACCATCAAAGTTGATCAAGATTCTAGTTGAAAAGGAAAAACCTCTCAATGAGAAGAGAGGACAGGTATTCTACAAAGGTATATTTCATAAACTGAATTGAAACCTCATAGATGAAAAGGAACTGTTTTGTTTTTCTTTTCACAGGAAAACTCATTCCCAGAATTCAAAGGTCAGTACATGGGTAAAAGACTCTCGTATAGATAGAGCTTTTATTATATCACATATAAATGTAAAAATAGAACTATCACATGAGCTAGTATAATGTGCTAAAGTTGTTATATAATAATTTATGTACCATATGTTACCACAACATAAAGTTTCTGACTAGCTGTAATTGTGCTCTATATGTTTGCTGTAAGTAAGAAATTTTATGTGGAATAGTTTTGAACAGTAATCTTGCCCAATTCCTGATGCTGAAACAAAATAATTCACTCATTATACATTGTATAAAGGGGTTTCCATGGCTCATAATTCGTCAGATTTTTAGAGCATGGTGGGTGCTCAGTTCTGGGAATGCAAGAAGCCAGGCACCATAACAAAGTTAGAAGTACCAGGAGAAGAGGTCACATGGACATCTAGGAAGTGAGACTTGAAGACAAGTCAGATGTGCTTTTATCTTACTGTTATGACAAATATTCTTTTGCAAACATTACTTACAACCATGTTTGACCTACTCCTCAAATACACCATTAGTCCATTTAGTGGTTTGGTTCTCCTGACCTAAGAACTTCACCAAGATTCCATTTCCTACATGTTCCACTATTTCAGCTCTGTGACTCTGGACACCATCCCCAAGCAAATAGGCCTTGGGTCACAGGTCACAATTAAACAGTAGCATATGCATTTCCTCCAATCAAATTGCCAGATTTTTTTCTAGGAATATATGGATACAAATTTATGAGGTAGAGAATTTACATCTAATTTTTTCTCAATTATGATATTCTACTTACTCTCTTATAGGGAAAATATGTGCTTGAGATGTTTTTACAATTTTTGGTGACTATGTTTTTTTTTTCCAATTGAAATTTTATATATTCCTGAGTGTTTTAAACCATTCTATTAATGCTTTGCCACTTTTATATTCTGAAGATATAAACTCCCATGTTGAACTTAAGTATGATATAGGGGGAAATATTTTTAAAATTGCATTGTTCATAATGTTTATGATGACATTATGTAACTCTGTATACAGCAGCTTTCAAGCAGATACAATAAAGATTAGTTTTGAAGAAAACACAGCACAATGACTTATTCTCCAGGGTAGAAGATAAAGAAAGCTTCAGTATTTATCCTAAGAATGAGAATAAGAGAAGGGTGTTGGCATGTTATGATCCCATAGTTAAGAAAACTCACTGGAGGTTTTGGAACCATGTCAAATTTGAGATCTTTGCAATATTTGACTTCTGATTTGACAAACACCTGAGTTCATGGTTAACGTAGTCTCTGCCCTTTCCTAGGAAAGGTCATCCAAAAAATACAATCACAGAATATATAGGTGAGCAAGATGGAAAAGCGGAATTAAATTTTCATTCAGACTACAGGAATCAAGCAGTAGGTATGATACTCTAAATTGTGTGTATTGTTTTGCTTTAGGTTCAGTATTAAAATAGCATGAATGTTGGTAGTTATAGCCTTGATTTTATTGCTAAATTTATTGTCTTAATGTGTAGCTTTCCTATTTCCAGCTTATTTGGCATCTTGATAATATGGAACTAACAAAAATTTAAAAGAAAGAAATATCAGAAGCCTTATGCTGTGCTTGTGACAGAAGCAGGGACATTACATGTGGACTACATACTTTCTACGGCAACCTGAATTGACAAATAAATAATTATTAAAATGGTGTGTATGCCGGGCATTGGAGGCACACGCCTTTAATCCCAGCACTCAGGAGGCAGAGGCAGGTGGATCTCTGTGAGTTCCGGACCAGTTTAGTCTACAAGAGCTAGTTCCAGGTCAGCCCCCAAAGCCATAGAGAAACCTTGTCTCAAAAAACCAAAAAAAAAATTTTTGTGTACAGGATATCACTTTAACATAATATTTATAAGGGGGTAGGAAAAAGATGCTGATTACACATGCTTGCATTTTTAGAAGCACATATTTTAGAAATTTTGAGCATTTTGGTGGAATATGTGTGCTCTCCATAGTTATGAAAGGAGGCCAGGGTAGATGTGGCCAGACAAGATATATTGGTACTCACAGCTTCTACATATGAAAGCTCATTCACGCTGATCTTTTTATCCATCTCTGCTATCCTTCATATTAGCCTTCACTACTCTCCTCATTCTGCTGTCAAAAATCTAAAGTGCTTTGAACTAATTAACTCATTTAAAGTTATTGATAAATAAATTATATACTAACCTGGGTCTTTCAGGATAAATTCCAAAGAGACATCAGTGATGTTTATTAGCAAACAAGACAGAATTATTTTATTGTTATTAATAGCCAAGGTAAAGAAAAATAACTTTAATGATTTATATTATCAATTTTAATTTCATCTAAGATGTTCTTTGAGAGGTATGGAGTTCATCTAAGACTCATCATATAACATGAAAACTTTCAGTTATGGACATAATACATTTGCTATAAGCTGAGTCAATACACTTCTGTTAGCCACTTCATGACAATAACTGTTTCCCTGCAGGTGAAAATGTGGTGGCTGCTGAGTACAATGTGCCTTGTCCATGTATGTGGAAACATATTTTGTTTATTTGAAACAACCATGAATCCTGAAGTCCACATGAATGTTGTAAGCTATTCTTATCACTAATAAAACTACATGCATTTGCTTTATCTCTGTTAACTTCATTCATCTTTTCTGAATCAGTGTATCTCTTTAAGTCTGAACATTTACCAAGATTGAAGACTTCATTCCAAGAAAAAAGAATCTATTTTAAGAATCAGGAAAAATGACTGAGAACAAAAGGATTCATGAAACTTATTACTGTGTTTTCTCTCCTAGAGTGAAATTATTATCCGTTGGGGTTATGCAAGTGAAGAGTATGAGGCTGTGACTGAGGATGGTTACATCCTCCCAATTAACCGTATTCCTCATGGGAAAAACAACACAAATAGCACAGGTAAGATCTGAGTAAAACAAGTATTGAAGAATCCCGAGGAAATAACATGCGTTACCTTCAAATTGAGTAATTTCAAAGGACCAATTGGAGCTCCTTGTCTCCCAGAAATAAGGTTGGGGCCTGAAAGGTACCTGGTTTCTATTGGCACTTTGAAGACTGAGATTCTGTAGGAGTGGCTCTTCTTATGCACAGTGAATATTGGTTAATATTGACTGACATAATAAATGGAATGAAGTCTTAGCACATCCCTGTTCCTTCATTTCAAAATCTTTTCAGTTCTATTGTGACTTTGGAATTTGTTGATTTCATGTTCAATGGAAGCTAATGCTGTAAAACATTTTCACTGTTGTTTTGGCAGGCCCAAAGAAAGTAGTACTTTGTCAGCATGGCTTGTTTGCAACTGCCTCTGTGTGGGTTTCCAATCCTCCCAACAACAGCCTGGCCTTCATATTAGCAGATGCTAGAAATGATTTGTGGATGGGGAACAGCAGAGGAAGTACCTGGGCAAAAAAACACTTGTACCTGGACCCAAACTCTAAAGAATTCTGGGCTTTTAGGTAGGAAAAAAACTCCATATAACACTACATTTGCCTTTGAGAGTGTCAAATATTTTAATAGTAAAATAAAGTTGTGGGACTGGATTGAAAGCATTTCACTTGGAGTGATATTTTAGATTGATTTGAGTGACATAGTTTAGGACTTTGGATTGTGGTTACTATGCTTAATAACTAGTATAAAATGTTCATTATAGCCTATATTTCTACTCTTGAAATTGTCATTTTTTTCTAATCAATCCACTTATCTTAAAAATTATACTTATCTCATTTTGTGTGTGTGTGTGTGTGTGTGTGTGTGTGTGTATGTGTGTGTGTGTGTGTGTGTGTGTGTGTGTGTGTGTGTGTGTGTGTGTGTGTGTGTTTGTGTTTACAAATGATTTGCTGCATGCTTGGAAGCCAGGAAACAACTTAATGGAGTTGGCCCTCTTCCTCAACCATGTTGGTTCTGGCGATTAAACTCAGGGAAACCAGCTTGGTAAATAGTGCCTTTGCTCAACTAGTCATCTCACAGGCCTCATCCATGTCCTTATAAAATTGATTCACTGAAGTAAGTTTGTTGTATTTAAAACACTGAAACATTGATTTGGCAAATATAGAAGTATGCATACAGCCATTTTGCATTATTTTTACTTTGATTGTGTATCCGATTATGAGTGTGTGTGTGTCGGGGGAGGGGGGTTGCTGTGTATAACACATGTGTATATCCATGTACATGTGTTTGTGTGAGGATCAGAGCACAAATTCAGTTTACCTTCTTTAGACATAATGTCCACTGTGGAAATCACTGACCTGAAGAGACTGACTGGTCAGCTAAACCCCTACGATATATTTATTTCTGCATCTGTATTGCTAGGATTTCAGGAATGGACCAGCATGTCTGCCTATTTTTTTTAGGTGGGTTCTGCAGATATCCTCCTTAGCTCTATATTGTTGATATCTTGTGAGTGGAATGAGTAATAGACAAGGGTGAAAAGACAAGGGTAAAAGAACATATGAGTGGGTTGGCTCACAGAGTAGTAGAATATCTCCTGAAGTTTATTCTCATCAATTTATTTAAACAAGTTCTATCACATTTACATCATTGTACCTCT